AATATGACCATTAATTCAGTAAGTTGTGAACACTTTTAATTAAAACATAAATTTTGTTAATACATTGTTTCTTGTACTCAATCAAAAATCAAAGTGGTAAATTATTAGATTACCTTTGTCCTTTAAATATGAAATAGTACTCAAACTTAATAGCTTGACTAAGATTCTTTGAAAAAGAAGAGAAAATTCTCCCCAATGTGCTATGATCAAGGATCATTACTTAATTAAATTGGCTAAGTTTTTAGTGAGGTCTTTGATATGCTAATAGGGAGCACCTGTTTTCTGTGTGACAAGGGGCTAACAGATTACCAATAGATCCTGTGGAGTGTTACAAACTGTGAAACCAAACAATACCTGCTCTCTCCTTTGATGTCTGAAACCTGAGAATATATTTAGTTCCACTTCATAAATGCTATCATGGGATTCTTTTTAAAAACAAAATATGACTTTGCAATTAAGGAACACAATAAAGAAAGATGCTTTATATTTTTTTTTCCTGTCAATTTGATTTTGCAAAATTTATAAATATTTTTGATATAAAATTCATACTTATTTTTATCTAAAACTTATACCTTGGACTTGAGTGACATATTGCTTATATTAAAGGGTAGATTTTTAAAATGTTTTTTTTTCCTCAGTCAATTAAATTTATTAATAACTGATATAAAAATAGAAAATTAAACACATTTTTATTGTCAGGTTATCTTGTTTAATGGTGATGTAATCTAATCATAACATCATAATTAAAACATTTGTATAGAAATTTCTTTCAAAATTTAAACAAGTAAAAATATCCTTAAGTAATAATACCTTTTATTGTTATATTGATTTTAAAATCCCTGTGGGACTTTGATATTAGAAGCTTTTCATGTAAAGGAATGATTGCCTTACTATTCTAACAGCTGGCTTTGGAACAGGTGTTGCAGGGCATTGTATGGGAGATAAGAAATTCTATTGGCTCTCCTGTCTAACCTTTAGCCAATCAGAGCCTATGTAGCATAGTTCAAACTCTGTTGTTGTACTTTGTTTAGATACCCATGTGTAGTATTGGACAAATATCTGTATATTGAAAAGAATGTAGATGGAAATTATTCAAGCCATTGTTTAATTTTTGGGACATACTGACCTAATTATTTTGACTGTGCTGAAATAAGATGTGATTCCTTTTGACTTGGAGGATTAACTACTGTTCAAGAGAAGTGACCACCCAATGTATAGGGTAAACAAACTCAGTGTCCAAGTCAGCATGCTGGAGAAGATGAATATTGTGATAATACTGAGATAGACATATAGTCTAGTGTAGATGATATACTGATAAACAATAAGTAAGAGCTGCTTAATTGATCCAGGTTAATTATCTATCCTTCTCATCAACCGATCAACTGAACAGGAAGTGACCAGTGTGTTTATTAGTGCTTGTATTGTGCAGACAAACATTTTACAAGATGATCATGTTGTAATGTGCAATTTTGGTTATGGATTTTAGTGCTGTATTAACCTGACTATTCAGGGTATTAACTGTTATTTAGTGCTGAGTAATCTCTGGTATACTGTATGGATGACCAACTCAAGGCCAGGAAGATGAAAATGACCAATCTCACCCTGGGTGATCTATACTGCGATGACAAGAGTCCCTTGTCTGAGGTAAAATTGTGTCATGTATTTAATGGTCACATGGTGCAGGGGGATTTACAATCATTTACAAAAAACGATGTCAGAGAAATTATGAAAAAGTGAACATGTTTAAGTTTTTTAGCATGCATGGTTATACAGTTGATGAATATTTCATAAGAACCTGCGTGAGATAAGAATAAAACAAGTTGAGCATGTAATGTAGGTATGAATACATGATGTGCCTTCAATAGTTGTTTATTGAAAGAAACAATGAATTTGATTATACCTACTTTTTCTATAGTTTCTGCTTAGTAAATAATACACAAAACCTGGAATTAATTGCTCAGTCTTAATTCAGTTGCAAAATGATATTGCTAAAATTTATTTTTCATCTTGCTTTAGGGTCTTCAGGGAAATTTCACTGAAAAATATCAATTAAAAATTATGTTATATGACCCTCATTTTCATTCCATGGAGAACAATGGTCAATTTGACAGTGTGGGTAGGCAATCCCCTTAAGAGCAAATGATTGAATGTAGGAATGCATTGAAAACTTCAATAGATACAGCTGAAATAAGAGCTGATGTAACTAAAGGATATTGATGATAATTACACAAAGCATGAAGGCTTTGTGAAGTAAGCTAAACTGATAGCATGAAATTTGTCATGTGTAGGGGAATCTCAGGTTTATAAGTTATACATATAAACATAAGCTGACATTTACAGGGCATTCTCCGTGATCTCTCTGGCATGTATTTGGTTGCCGCTGGTGCTGAGTGATCTGGCTGATTCTTTAGTTAAAACGTTGTAAAACAGTTTTCTTCATTGACTCAATTTTGATTAATTGACTGCAATAGTTTATAGACAGTGAGAGATTAAAGATTATAGGTGTTAATATATCAGTTCTAAATTTTAAAATACAAAAAAATCTGAAAAACTTTATGTGTGTTTGAAGAAATTATCTGATTATAAAGTACTCCTTGTGTAACAGTATTGCATAGGATTTGAAAATTATCAGTAGATTTGTGGAGATACTTAGATGTGTATTTACTGATAGATAGAGAGAACAAGTGCCCAGTCATGTTAGTCAGGGAATCAGAATGGGGAGCCAGGCATGTGTTTCTGGTTTGAAAGAATAACAGCTTGGCTATCACTCAATGTCTGCACAATGTCTCCCAGCAAAGCAAAAAAATCTCCCCCTGCCAGCAGCTACAAACAAGACCATCAGTTTTACTGCTTATATTTAAAAAAAAAATCTGATGTATATGACTGACCAGGACTAATAAAAAACCTTCCCTAAATGATGTCACGGGCTGTGTTTTATTTGTCTATACATCATACCTTCTGGACAAGTACATAGGTTTCTTCATGTTTTACACAGCAATAAAGTTTGTTTGTTTAGGCTAGCCAGACATGCAAAGAGACAGATTATGTAATCTGCTGTTATATCCAGGGATCATTAATGAAATTAACACTTTTAATTGTTTTGTAGCAAAAATCAACCTTTTTGCTTCTGTTTGTGAATGTTATCATTACCATTCAAATGGTGTTGCTTGCTTTTCAGATCGGTGGTGTAATAAAGAAGTAGTTTATATAGAGTCTCTAATCTGTCCACAGTTTGGTTATAACACTTATTCGTTGTTTGTTTGGGTAAATTCTTTAGAATGGAAGGGGCAGGTTGGGAACCAAATGTAAATGGCCAGGCTTGTCTTGAATTGATTAACTATGTTTGTCCCTTGATAAACATTTTACTTGAATCTGTCATTTTCCTATGAGAAAATCCTTGTGGTTTTTGGTCACTCTAGGTTTGTAAACTAAGACGTCACTCTTTTTCCTGTCCTTCAAGGAATGTGCAAATTGTTAGTGCTTGGATTAAATTTGAATATATATGTAAATGTCCCCTCAAGTAGCACATCGTACTTATTGTGGGACCTCCAAGAAATTTGTCAACAGACAAAATTGTTTTCTCCAAAATATTTGACACATTTATTTATCATTAGAGTAGAAAATAATTAAAAAATACATTACATACATCTTCAAGCAAAAACACCGTCAAGAAACTCATATAAGTAATTATACTTAAAAGAAAGGTGTCTTGCCTAGAAATAAATTAATTGATCGTGTGTTGATAAGGTGTGAAAATAACTAGAGGGAAACGTAAAAAAAATATCAATTTTCTTGTTATAACAGCCCCTTTCCCCTCCGTTTTCAGAGTTACCTATGATTTATATTGATCATTAATTTACAGTTGGCCTTACAAGTACACAGAGTAGAAGTCATTATAGGTTTTTAAAAAGGCTACTTTTCCACTACTTATGTGGTTACAAAACAACTCATAGCAAAATCTGGAACGTACATGTATCAGCAAAACATAAAATCTGAAGAGGTCCTTTATGTGAATTGTATAGAGTGACTTTTTCCTTGGTTGAAGTGTTGTAATTGGACCTGTTTCCCACATTTCTAACTCCTTGTCCCCTTCTATAACTGTAAAACCCCGCTTAACTTTGATCTATCTAGGGGGTCTTTTTGTTTCTAGAAATTAAGAACATGAAAAGTTTATAAGTGGATTTTGTTATGGAGATGAACCCCTGGGATCTCCCTAGGAGTTCTAGGGATTTTCCCTGGGACTTAGATAAGGAATCTTAATCCAGATTTATACTTGTAAATCCTACAAGCCCGTCTAATTGCTTCAACAATGATCAAGTTATAACTTAAATTATGTGATCTAGGAAAGTACTTTTTCAAGTCCTTGTCTACTTTTTATCATATTTAAATAAATTTCATAACTTATTACAGAAAATAATATGAATGACATCAATATTTATATCAAATTCATTTATAAAATTTTAACTCATTTTTATTTTTTTTACTTTTTAATAAATGACGATATTTTTTATTAAGTTACCAACCATAAATTAATCTTTTTATCTGTAACCACATTAGATATTGGAAGAAAAGGTCACTTTAAATTTATAATCATAACCAGTTATAAATTGACAATAATATGTTATTGTCATACAAAGGTTATAAGTATTCCCTTAAAAAAATCTGAATTGCGACCTGTGGTTTGAACTGAAGTTTCTTAAAGATGTCTTTGTTTATTCTGGAGATGAAATTTTGGCAAAAGTTTGATAAATAGGAAAGAATAAATATTTAGTTTAGGAAGCTTGGACAATGCTAAGTGTTATCTAGTATAGCCTTTACCTGTATCTGTGCCAAGCTGACCTGGAGGGGGCCTTTTTAACACAGTCTGTATCATTTCTGACCTGTATTTTTTTTACTAGAAAAAGGTGTGTAACAAATGAATATGGGTACTTTAAAATGTGATGTAGAAGGCATATCTGCCTGCTGACACTTAAATATTTCTGTTTTTTGTGTTGTTTCAGATGATGGAGTACAGGGAGGCTCCCGTCAGTCCTGGGGCGTCCAGTGTCCACAGCATGGACAATGGGGGGATGGACAATCTGGGATCACCCACCACTCCGTCCTCACCCACCCCAGCTCCAGTGGAAATCGCGGATGAGCGTCTTCCTAATGAGCTGCTAGATGAAATCTGTGAAGACATTGGAATGAAAGAGGGAATGGAGCTTGATTTTGTGGAGTTCCTCATGGAACAAGATATGGTGGACCCCCAGGTTTACATGACTCCAGAAGCAATAAGGAACACACTGTCGTCAGTGGCTCCGACCCCAGCAGCACATTCTCACAGTAATCTGTCGTCAGTCCCGGCTTCACAAACTCAAGTGACATCTACTCCCAAGAATAGTGACTGGGCATCCAGAGGATGCAGCAGTCCGACAACTACTTACTCTGTGGCCTCCAGTACAAACTGTACAGTAGCCACTTCCAGTGGGTCAAGCAGTCCTGTTGCCAAAAGGTTCCACCACTCTACGTCAGGGCCCTCAAGTCCGGTGCGGACCACTGCTCCTCCACTTTCGCCTCATGGAGGAGTCTTCAAAGCACCGCCCACGCCACCTACACCGAGACGTTCCTCTCAGTCTCAACAAAGCATTGCCTCACCCAGTATATCTAGCACTGTAGGGCCACAGGTACAGAGACCCTACTCCCCTGCCAGTGTGCCTTCTTCTCCCTCACAGAAATCCATGCCACCTCAGTTTCACCAATCTCAGTCACAGACACAGATGGCCCCACCTAAGTCTATCCCACCACACATGCAAAGGCAGAATAGCCAACACAACTACCAGAGGCTGGGGAGACCAGCCCCTCCTAATGTTAACATACAGAACATGCCCCAGCATCAGAAGTGGACAGGTCCACCTAATGGTCAGATGCCAAATGGCATGATGGGAAATCAGCCGTGTTCTATGAACAATATGGGATATCCTGCTAATCAACAGTTCCAGAGGTCAATGGAGGCATGTGACAATGGATATTATTCAGGTATTGAAAGCTTTGTATTCTATTATCTAGACTGTTATTTCTTTTCATTATAAACCCTCACCCCTTATAGAAAAGGAAGAGTTATATAGTGATGTGGGTGTTCATCTGTAACAGTTAGAGTGCTCATGTCTCCACCTGTTATCACTGAATAAAATTTTAAAAAGAATGAAATTAAAATTAATAATAAAAAAAAAAAATTGTGGTTTAAATTTGTTTATTGTTAGCATTATATAAGCTGTGGAAAAAAGCATTATGATTTTGTTGGTTTGTTGAAGAGAAATACTATCCAATCCTTGATTTGTAGGGGATACGGCCAGTGTGAGGAGTTATGGGTCATCCTCAGTGTCCTCCACCGTCCCCTCAACTGCCTCGTCCGCTCAGACCGCCATCCACAATCAAAACTTCAACAACCGACAGACACTGCAGAACATACCCCCTCAACAACAGAAAAACGTTCACTTTAGTGATCTGCAGGGACATCACCAGAACGGGGTGCCTATCCAGAGACAGAACTCGGCAGGGTACAATCAGGGCTACGAGTCCAGTGACTGTGATTTAGAAAACGAGTTTAGTCAGAGAAATGTGCCATCAAAGATCATGCCTCGACTAACGCCTTCCATGAAGTCTGATATTGCTCCATATATGGTGCCCGGCAATAACAATGGTTCTATGAGTCCTTACGGAGACTACTCCAGAGGAAGCAATAGTCGACCGGGCAGTGGCGAGAATCCAATGGTGTCTATGCAAAATGACTATTTTTCACAAAAGCCAAGTGAAATGTTTAATGTGGATGATAATCAGAATTCAATGCACATGAACAATTACAATAACTCTATGCAACATCCACAACAAAGTGAGATTCAAGACTCTGGCTACAGGCCTTCTTGTTCAGGAGGTGCTCCTATAGGAATGCAGCCTTTGAGGCATTTTGATGGACCTGGACCAAACTGTGGCATGCCGCAAGGAGAAGCATTAGGTGACCCCATGTATATGGACAGGACAGATGCATACAAAATTGCGATGGGATATTGTGATAATCAGTATGAACCACAAGGCCAGAATATGAACAATAGCTGTATGAATATGGACCAAAAACTGGGCCCTGGTATGATGAATCCTAACCAGGGATACCCAGGTGATAATTACTGTCAAAATCCTATGCAAAATAATGGACCACGGGGCATGCCTATGCAGAATCCTCATATGATGGGAGGTCCACCCCAGGGAAATATGGCTGGTGGTTATGAACAAAGTCAATATAACAATCGTATGCAATCAAGTGCCAATATGAACAATTCAATGTATTCGAATCCACAAACACCGATTAGTGCTGAAAACTTACAGTGTCAGAACCCTGGAGTCAATGGACAGAATTGGGTTGGACCCCAAACTCCAGGAATGCATTCCAAGCCTCCTCATCAAGGGATGGCTCCGGGAATGAACATGCACCCACAGCAGGGCATGCAGACCCCAGGGTCCAGCCCCATGCCCCCTTGTACTCAGCCCAACTGCCAGAGCTGTAAGACGGGTTCACCTCACCGACCACCAATGTTGGCATCACAGCAGACTTTCATTCAGCATCTCATTTCTGACCGTTCTAATGCCTTCCGCTCTCACCCTCTCTTTCCTTTACTTCGAGATCTCATCATTGCAGATATGAACTTCTGTTCACCCAGTTTTCCTTACCAACTCATTAGTAATTTACCTGCTGACTTTGACAAGCTTTTGCAGAACTTCCTATCTCGGAACCCTCCTTCAGGAACATATCAGGGCAATTTCGCAATAGAGAGTGTTATCATGGATGCTCTGAAGTATGCTCATCACTGCCTTATAGGTTAGTATTTGAACACTGGCTTAGCATAAAATTCATAATTAAAAAACTTGCACAATAACTAGACCCCTTGTTAGTCTGGAAATAATGAAAGTATGAGGTGGTGGGAGCTTTAAAGACGTTAATTTTATGTTATGGAATTTATATTTTTGATGAAGGCATTCTGCATACAGTTAATTCTCGATAAACCGCCACCTTTTGTAATTGAGAAATCATGGCGGTATAACGAATTTGGCGATGAATTGAATTTCTCATCTTTTAGGAAACAAGAAGTAGAGTTACCGTTCTTAGAAATAATTTAGCGTTTCTATTTTTATTATTACATGTTCATGTTTCTAAATTTTAAAATACTTCAAGTAATTTTTTTTATGTGCAATTTTGCCACAATCTTAATATGCAGTTATGAAATAAAGACTACATGTGTATGCATAAAATTATTGAAAAAAAAAATCTGCACGTCTGATATTGAAAAAAAAAATATGCTTGGTGGATCGTATTGATATATTGCCGATTGTACGTGAAATGAATTCTTGAATAAATTCATTGTTTATCGCATCATTGTTAATGAAACATTCACAATTCATACCGTATGATTATTTTTAAAGCAATCTTTGCATTGTTTAAAGCTCAAAATAATATCGTTATCGGCGAACTTAAAAAACAACGACCGCTTTCGTGGCGAAGTCTTGACTAAATGATTTTTATTAAACAGAAAACAAAATAATTATAACACTTCATGTTAAAATTATTGTTCATTAATTCTTATCTAAATTTTAATTGCATGTGTCTAGTCTGGCTTCGCATTCTTTACAACAGGAATAGTGTCAATAATTAGCCGCGCTTCACTGATCACATGCACCTGTGGCGGTATATCGAGATAATTGACACTTAAAAATGGACGTTTTTATGGCGGATGGCGGTAGACATTATAAAGAGAATTTTATATAGCAGGAAAAACGTTCCTGGGAAATCATGGCGGTATTGCGAAAATGGCGATGAATCGAATGGCGATAATTCGAGAATTGACTGTATATCATTATATGCATGCAGATCATTGCGATGTGGGGTGGGGGACTTATTGCTTGATGCCAGAGATGTGTGGTTGAAAGGCTATATACATGAAAAATCATTTATTACACCATGATCATTTTTAAGAGACATATAGTGTGTAGATTGGGTAAGATACTACATGTAGTAGGTGAAGGCAATAAATTGTAAGTGAAGGATATGTTTGATACAAAGTTTTATGATCTTTAAAATTGATTTTATTGGGTAACATTGTGTAAACAGAGGTCAGAAAAAGATTAAGTTGTAAAACAATTTATGACCCAGGTCTGTCTCGTTTGAAATTATGGCTTGGTAATTCTGCAAACTGAAAAAAGTAATAATTTTCTAAATGAATTGTATAAAATTTTCATCAGTGGTACATTACCCTTTCAAATTTCAGAAGCAGCAATTCAGCTGAATATGAAATTACTGAGGATGTAAACAGTTTAATGCTATTCAAACGGGAATAATTGCCCACCGATATATCTTGTAAAATCAAATAAATGTTTTGTGCGATATTTTTACCTGTTCAATGGATGAAATTGTGCACAGAAGTGTTATCAGCTAAGCATTAGGAAATTTGACATTGATTTTCGCTTTTTGTAATAGCTGACGTAATTTTTCTCTATGGTTCGTATAAAGGACCAGAAATTTTATATTGATGTAATTGATCTTCAGGGGACGTAATAATAGGAACTTTACTGGCTGAACCTGCAGCCCATACAAACCTGTATCGACAGATTGAAACTTAAAAGACAAAATCCCTTCTCTGTTGATATGCTAAAGTTTCCAATTACTAATTAGATAGTCAGATTAAATTGATTGCTGGGATCTTTGATGAAGTTATTATTGCAACCTTTTGAGAGCATTAGGGATACAGTGTTAGGTTTCAAAGTGAAGCTGAAATTTATATGAAACATTTCAGCTTGTTTAATAATTAAGTATTAAGAAGAAGAAATTGTTTTTTTTTGTAAAAAATAAAGGCCTTTAAATAAATACATTTATTGATATGTCTGTGTACTTTTATTAAGTGTTTTTTAAGTTGATCATTGCTTACATTTTTGCAAATAGTATATTGACTTAGATTTATTCAAAAATGAAATTTAAAAGAATTCCAAAGAAATTTTCTGCATATATGTATAATTGTATATTAAAATTTTGCAGAGAAAATTCGGGATAGACAAGAACAGGACAAAGTGACCAAAAGCACCTCCAAATCACTGAGTGCCATTGAAGAGTTCTGCGAAAAGTTTGACCGCTCGGTGCGACAAAATATCATCAAGGTAAAAATCAATTTTTAAAAAAAATCTTGGAGCTTAAATTGTGATTGACATGTGCCCTTATATTCTAGCCAAGGAAGAAAAACGGTCAAAAGAAGTGTTCTTTCTTTGTTACAAGGCAACATATAGATTTGTTCCTCAATTTCTCAGTATTGTTTATCCCTTTCTCAATATTAGAAGATTAACGATTTTGCCAAATACATACAATCAATTATTATAAATTTAATGTATCAAGAAAACAGTGCAGTATTTCTTTCAAATAAGTCTGGAATTCATACATGATATAGAGTAGTTGTAGCTTGAAATGGTGTCTTGTTTTATTATAACATCTTTGACATATCCTGTTTTTATTTGAAATTCAATACTTGTATTTAATTTTTTTTATTGTTAGCAGTAACAAAATCTATCTGGTATATTACACTTTTCTGATGAATTGTCAAAGGGTTGTCAGAAATTGTTAGTAAAGTTACATCACAGTAGTAACATTAATAGCTTTTCAAGATTTATCTATCATTTTGCATGGAATATGCACTTGTCATTTAGTGCTTTAAAATGAAGTATTGAGTTACGGCAAGGCATGACCTGCCGTCTTTAAACACTCAAATAACAAACTTTCAAAACAGCAGTCAGGGTTCTGGCCGGGCCTTATATTGGAGATCTGATATCTTTAAGTGGGCAAAATTTCACAAGTAATTTCCCAACAAGAATAAAAGATGTTGATGTAGAAAAAGCTGACAATTATAGCTTTAAGGTCCCTATTCAGTGGCCGGCCATGAATAATGTGGGGACTTTTTGAAATCCTATCCATTCATTGAGTGAGGTATGCATATAGAGACGGGTTTTCTAGACCTGTTGATTTGGTGAAAATCTATGCTGGGTAGCTTTACTGTAGTATTGTTCCTGTTGGTAGGAGAAGGGATTCGTAAAAAGAAAGGGAAGAAAAGAATTCACTTTCCTTTGTATCCAAGTTTTGTGGAGATACTTATTGCCAAACCCTCTCAAAGGATTGGCAATTCATTTTAAAACATTTTTCAATATCCTGAATGTTTTCAATTTTGAGGAAAAAAGGTATTAAAATTTCAGTAATACTCAAACTGTTGGCATCAAAACTTTTAGCTAACATTTTATTTGCAATTCAAGTTGATCATTTACTTTGGAAATTAAGTTTGCAAGTGCAAAGAGTTTGAAATCCAAGTTTACCATTTACTTAGTTAATTAAGTTTGAAAATGTACCAAATTGTAATCATTTTCAGCAATAGGAAATCTGAGCTGTATTTGTACAAAGTATTACAAGTGTAGGTCATGTGCGGTATTGGCAATCTCCCCCATACAATGTCTGAAATCCTGCTATTATTATCACAGGGTTTATTTTTCTATGGGACTTTGTCAGGGTTTAGAAAAATCTACCTGGTCCAAGGCACAGGAAATGAATCATTCATCCAGATTTAGATGTCCTAGATAGAAAAATTTGGCCACTGTAACATGAATGTGTGTTTATCGGCCTTATTCTCTGCCCAGAGTAAGCGGTCTGATATGTTACCCGATAGGCTGCATACTCAGTATTCATGTGGGAGTTTTTATCACTCACAAATCAAAAACGGGGGATTTTTTAAAAGTACTCTAATGATAGTTAAATTGAAACATTGATAAAATTCAAACAGAACATGGTTCTCAAATCAGATACATAATATACACTGTAACAGGCTATTAATCAAAATATATTTGCAGCAAGCCTGTAATTAAAGAAAAGTACAGATCTATATTTTCTTTAAAAAATTGAGAGATTGAGAACAAAAAAAAGTACTGTAATAAGTATTTGACAGGTCCTGTGTCATCATGTTGCATGTTTTGCCTGATGCTGTAACATTGATCATGGACAAGGTGTGTGTGTGTGTTAGAGAGAAAATGATGTATATCAAAACTATCTGTAGCCAAATCAACTGATGGCTGTCATGTTGACTATAGAAGTAAGAAAGGGTGGTCAAAAGAGGGAGATCTCAATCCATTATTTATATACACGCAATTATGTCACCAAATATGATTTAAAGCCCCCTAGTAAATCCCTAGACTTTGTTATCTTTGTCAGGTCTAAATGCTTGACTTGCACAAAACACAACCCTGTCGATCAAACTGGTTGACATGATGTTGATCGAGACATGCTAGTATATTGTTTTTCTGTTTGTGTGGTCTAGGTGCTTTGCCGACTTTCCCGCCCATTTCTAATACCCCTCAACGGAGAAGAATTCACCCGTAACATTTAATCAGACAAGTTCTCCTCCTTGAATTGATGGAATTCCTAAACAAGTGGCTGTTTGGTCGGTAGAAGGCGGAGAAGATTAAAGTGCCTGCTTGTGTTGGCCACTCCGTCATTAGGCCATGTTTGTACTGGAAACATTCAACAGCCCCCCCTAAATAGATTCATTAAATGGGACCCATAAAAAAAACCAAGAACAAGTGTTCTTTTTATAAAATTATTATCCTTTAGTTCGAGCACTTCATCAATTCTAGGTTAAAGCATTACCAGTAAATTATTTTAATGGATTTTTTTAAAAAGTAGAGAAAGGATAGAAAGAGAAAGTGAGAGAAAGATTACCAGTATCACTCATATTTTTACTGGCACAGAATCAGAAGAGATTTACAGAAGACCCACTTTTGTAGTTTTATTTCTTAGTTGTTTTTTTTTTCCTGTGGTGTAAGTTGGCATATACTGGGTTGTCTACATTGCATCAGTCAACCCCTGTTGACTTTGACTTTAGCTGGCTCACTCTCAACAATCTGAAAAGCTTTGCAAGGATTGAAATGTAAATGCATTATGACAAAAAAACTATTCACAATAGGTAACTAACATACTCTAGGATAGGAAGTGGGTTGAGAAAGAAGGGAGCAAATGCCAGGAGTCTGATTTCTGTATTAGAGCTTGTCTTAAGAGATTTTTTGTTTTCATGTGGCTAAGTTACTGTTAAAAAATACAGAGAAAAAAGCAAACACCAGGTGCAGTAAACTTCCTGACATGCAACTGTGTATGTTTGTGTTAGAAGGGCATTCTCAATTCAAAACACATGATCCCATCTTTTGTTTGGGGTTCAATGAGAGTGGCACTAGAAAGAGCACACTCAAAATAACTTTGTCCTTACACAGAATCTACATCAGCTTCTAGCTGTCAGAGACTGGGGGTTAAGAGTTGTGTCCCTTTGGTGCTGGGTTAACTATTGTACACATTGCTGTAGATTATTCTGTGTGCTTTTTGTGGGAGATGGAAGTCGAGATTAGCTGAAGCATGGCAGAGTTGTGGTCTGGTGTGTATTGCTAATTTCTTTTTTGCCTGGATGCTGGAAAGTTTGACTGACACACACACGACTAATTCCGTCACGATAGACATCTTTTCCAGGCCAGTTCAGCGAGAACCTGTCAGGGGATCTAGGTTAGACATGACTGCAGGCCCCTGGCTGACTCATACACCTGCCTGATAAGGTTTCATTATAACAAATTCATCCCAGGGATTTTTTAAATGAATAATCTGGAAAACAAACTCAACTCTCTTATCAGAAAATTGAAGACCAAAAGCTATGTTTACATGGTAGATACAACATGAATTCCAACACTTACTGCCTGTTTTAAATGTCAAATTTCTTTATAGTTGATGTTAACAATATGATGTATAAAAGTCAGTGTTCAGTATAGGAATTTCAAAACATTTTGTAGTCAGGTTTTTCGGAGCCTTGTAATGCATACCTGTACCAGTAGGAGATGTTGTCTAATTAGGTCAACAGATAATGAAACAGCAGGAAAGCTCTTCTGATTGAGTTGTAAAGTCAAGATTATATGTAGAAGAGTTATATTTTATTTTTAGGGTTGTTAAAACTGAATTACATGAAAAGTTAATAAGCTATTTTGTTGTCTTTCAGCCAGCAACGTTTCAGCTGCCAAACCACAGTGGAGGGGTGAGCTCATCGTCCATGCCCGGTCAACCAATGGGAGGGAATATGACCCCCACCATGGGTACCCCCACAAAGGACCACAAGTTTAGCAGCATGGATGGCATGATGGTATAAACTAATGACATTTTTAGTTGTCAGAAAGAATTCTGAAATATTCACTCTGCTATTTACCTATACTCCAGAAAAAGATATAAAATGAGTAATGCAAAGCATGTTATATAATGCAGTCAGCAATTGTAATTCATTATGCAGATAAATGTTGAGGTTTAGATTAGGGTTGTTAAGTGTGGAAAAGTATAATGAAAAATTATGGCGATGTGTTAAAAGGTATTCATCTAGTCATTTACACATCTAACAAATTACTGGGAGGAAAAAATCTCTGTCATAATTAATTTTCTTCTAAGAATTTATGTCGGCTTGTATAGTTATTCATCTTGTTTTACTATTTTTGTTATAAATTGTGTACATTTTCAGATGCAGGGGTTGTTTGCTTCTCCAAGTGCAAAGAAAGGCTTAGATCTGAGTGCCATTTGTTCCCCACATTTCAAATCGCTGAAGGACCTGGCAGATTGCAGTGACTCTACTAGTATTGTCAGCAGCAGTAGCAACCATGGAAAGTCAGAGTCTAAAAAACACCCAAGTCTGCCAAAAGAGGTATTTATAGTCTTATTATGGAAAAGAACATTGTTAAAATTGTATCAAGAATGTTTTTATGTTAGAAAAGCATAACCAAATAATACCTTAATACCTTGTAGATTTTGGAAACTGGCATAAATATTTTAAACATTTTATAAAGCGTTGGTACAAATTTGATTATTTTTTTAATTTTAGGCTGTAGCCATTATGTTAGAATGGTTGAGACAACACAAAGACAACCCATATCCCAACGATGATGAGAAGGCAATGCTAATTAAACAAACAGGACTGACGATAAATCAAATTAATTACTGGTTCACAAACGCCAGGAGAAGAATTCTGCCTAAGTGGGCCCAACAGTGTAAGTGAACAGGACTCGGCCATTAGATGCCCAATATTTCAGGAGTAAGTGGCACAGAGGTCCGTGATTCCTGCCTGGAAAATTATTACATATCACAAAACAGTGCCTGAAGTTATAGTCCAAGGGAAGTAACTCTTAAAACTTACTAGGAGCATCCCTGGTGAACAGAGCGGACATTACACATCAGCATTTTGAGATAGCATTCTTGGATAACTTGTGAAATGTGTTCATTGTCCATGACAATTCTGGTTAGTGCTTTGTTTACAAATCTATTTAGAGTATTATTTTGTGATGTCCATTATTGATATCAAAGCCATGTTATGCTATGCACAGAAGTTAGCATTACTTTTCTCTGTGATTTTAGATGGTCCTACAAGGACTTTTATTCTGTAATAATTGTGTCCTAAGGACTAGTAACATTAACTTATTCATAGTTTTAGGGGGAAAAAAAGAAAGCTGTTACCAAAGCTTTATGCATTAACTTTACCAGTGTTCAAGCAATAATTGGTGTTTTTTTATTAGGTCACCTGAGTCACTCAGGTGACCTATTGCTATCTGTTTTTGTCCGTCGTCGTCCGTCGTTCGTCGTACGTCGTTCGTCGTTCGTCGTCAATCGGTCGTAAACTTTTGAACATTTTCAGCTTCTTCTCTGCAACCACTGAACCAATTGCAACCAAATTTGGCACAAAGCATCTATGGGTGAAGGGGAACAAAAATTGTGAATTTCATGATCCCTACCCCCCTGGGGCCTGGGGGTGGGGCCAAAACCACTAAAATTAATGAAATCTTTAAAAATCTTCTTCTTTACTCCTGGACATCAAGCAGTCAAACTGTTTGCATGATTGTAATCAGCATTGAGTCCTCTATCAAAATTGTGAAATTCATGGCCCTGGGGTCAGGGGTTCTTGTGCTAGGGTGGGGCTAAATAAGTATATAGTGAAAATGCATTATTTCTTTGAAAATCTTCTTCTCTGCTCCTGAATATTAAATAAACTAACTAAGTACATAGTTATAATGCGCAAGAGTGCCTCTACCAAAATTATGAATTTTATGGCCCCAGAGTCAGGGGTTCTGGTGTTAGGGCGGGGGGGGGGGGGGGGGGGCTGTATTGATTATACATGTATAGTGAAAAAACATTAAATCTTTGAATATTTTATTCTTTGTTCCTAGGTTTTAAGCAAATGAACTACCTATATAGTTATGAGCAAGGGACCCAATTTTCAAGAATTGTAAATTTCAAGACCCCAGGATCAGTTGTACCATAGAGGGGGGGGGGGCTGTACTTATATACTGAAAATGAATGAATTGTTTGAAATGTGCTCCTTGGTATTCATCAAATTTTTTTGAAAAGCAAGGATGCCTTTCCAAAAATTGTGCAATGTGTGGATCAAAGCCTAAGAGTCAAGGATTCCTGTGTGGTAGCGGCACTACTGATTATTGCTGAATATTACTGATTTGTTGAAATGCATTTTTTGTTCCCCTACCCTGCCTATGGGTATTAAGTAACCAAACTAAGGAACTGATAAGTGTATAGTTATGATTACCAAATTGTAAATGCTATAGCATCTGGCTTAAAACAAATTCAATCACTGGAAAGTTGTTGAATAATGCTCAGGTGACCTATAAGGCCCATGGGCCTCTTGTGTAAACTTCTTTAAGCTTTTAGAGAGGATTTTATTCTGTATTGATGTTTTATATTTATAGTCTTTTTTTTATTTTTATTTAATATTAATTTGAAAGGACACAAACTCAGAGAGCTTTTGTAGTTTCAGTGTTGCTGTCTGAATTTTATACTGACTTTATTAAAAGTGGCCTTCATGCATTTTATAATTATTTTTCACCCATTGAAACAAATATATTAACAACCAGAGAGATCAAAGTGTACATACCTTAATAAAACAAAAACGTGCCAAACTGTCTCCTGTTTGTCTGATGTTCCACGAGAATTTGGTGCACTTTGTCATACTTAGTATGTAGGTATAGCGTTAAGAATACTCATTTTGTCTTTGTTTTAGTTCTAAGATATTGATTATGGTAAATTTTTAAGCTTTTTTCACCTGACCATTTTAAATTTCATCAGGAGGATGCAACAAAGTAAAGAACAATTGTTGCTGATTTGCTTCATTACTATTGCTAGATATACCTGTACAAATGTAGAGCTCATGTGGCTAGATTCTGTAACTTGTCTGGTCCTCTTTTTCACTGGTTCTCTTTCCTTTCTTTTCTTTCTTGAAACAGATGTAAATTTCCACTGTAAAGTTTGTATATAGTGTGTTTTCAGTGGAATCATTATATTATGAATCATTTGTTTATCTTTCTGAGAGGTTTATTGAAAGAGTTTAATCACAGTTTTATATATAATTACATGAATGACTGGGACCTGAGAATTCACTGGCTAGTGTGTGTTGTTTAGAAATATGATTTTTTGTTACTTTTTTACAGCAGTATTAATGAAGGTAGAACATTTTTTTTCAGCTGTCTTTTTATTTTGATACTGGAATAATTGCTGCATTTTATAATCTTTCACATTTTTGGACATCAGTTTCATTTATAAGGCTTTAGCATGTTTGGTAGACAAGGAGATATTTAAAATAAAAGCTGGGATTTTGCAAGTATTAGTAAAATATCTTTCATGCTGTACCAAAGATCTTCAGAATGTTACTTGTTTAAAGCTTTAAGTTTATGAAAAAAATTTCTGTGTTACTTTTGTACAAGAGATTCATTCCAGGATGGTTTTAATTTAATCAAAAAGTTGTAAAGTATACAATTACCTCACTAGAACAGATAAAGACATATCATTTACAATCCTGATCAATTATTCTGTCAAGAAAAATAAGTTGTGATAAATCTTTGGTAAAATATATTTCAGAGTTCATTCCAATGAACTTTGTAAAATTTTTTGGAACAATTTATAAAGTTCAAGTCCTTATGGCCTGGTGCATGACTTTTTTCAGATCTTGATATTTCATTTAGTTTTGGTTCAAATCTGAATTCTGATGTGGCAGGTCACAAATTTTTTATCAAAAACAAATAAAAACATGATTTCTTTTTTTAAAATTATTTTTAAAACAACCAATTTTTTAAGTTGTGGACTGTGCCTTGATCTTACATCCACTTTTAATTCTGTTTTACTCTGACATGTATATGATAGGTTGTAACCATGCAGCATGTAAATATTGTGCCTTATAACATGCTATTATTAGATGTAAAAGGTGTTTACCAATATGAAAATGCTTTAGAATGTCAACTTTTTTTTACCTCATTAAAATTGTGATGTTGATTGAAGTTGTGTTTAGTTATAGATATTTCTGTTTAAAAAGGGCTTGGTGATGAAAGTAAATTGATTAACTTCTAGAAATCATGCAAGTTTAAAATGGAAATTCTTGTACCAAAAAATGGTATTCATTAACAGCCTTCAGTTTTGTGATAAATGGATATTGTTATATAATTATATGCAAGTTGCAGACGAGATTGACCATAAGCACTTCTGGTGAATGTCTCATTTTCCTGATGATAGTTTCCTGCCTCTGAATTATAATGGGTAGGACAGACTTTTACTTTGCTTCAAACAAGAACAGGGTGTTCATGACAGAACAGATCATTAGGTAAAGGTTTCAGTCTCATTAAATAATTGATTTTATATAGCCTTCTAAACCTTAAATAAATCACTATATGAATGCTGCATGCCTTACTCCTGTGTCCAAAAGGTGATCATTTCTGTTCGGAAATTTGGCAAATCTATTTTTTCAATAAATTTACCATCAGTTCTTCATATACTCGGTATTTAATACATGTATTGTGTGGTTCATGAAAAAAAAGCTCCTCTGAATCTGAGATAAAGGCACTTTGTTTGCATGTGTTCAATCATTTTTTACCATTTTTTTTTACTGCTGTCTCAAGTTCCAAGTTCAGGCTCTAGGGGAAACTAAGTTGATCATATGTTGAAAATATATATCAAAATTGACATGAAAGTCAATGAAATTAATGGTTATTTAGCAGGCAAACTCTGAGCCAGTCAACCATAGAAAGAGTGTGGCATACAAGGCAAGGACATTTCCAGCTTATACAGTAAAACTTTGTTATAGCAAAGTCCAGAGGACCTGTGAAATTACTTCACTATGTATCCTAATTTGTCTATCCATGTAAATGTCTAGGGGCCATAACTTTGTAAAAGGGAAGAAATACGGAAAACTAATACTTAGTGCAACGATTGCTTATGACCCAGCAGTATATCTTATATATCAAGGTCATTGGAAAAATATTAAATATCTTTGCCATGCTAAAACTGAATTTTTATTGAAGAATCACTGAAAGCTCATAGTGAGTATGGATTGAAAATGATCCAAGGGTGTGTCTTGACCTTGACCATTGATCTTTCTGGAAAGTTTGAGATCACTTTCAGAAAAAGTATAAAACTCTTGGCTGCAGTACAATTGGGAAGAATCGTTGGAAGCTCACACTTGGTATAAAGATTGATAATATTCTCAGGATTTGTCTTGACCTTGACCTAAGGCTATTCTGGCAAGTTGAAGGTCATTTTCCTGAAATAGAAATGCCCAAACAGTACTAAAACCCCTGTTTCACCGTGTCAAACCGTTACTTTGAGGGAGTCGCAAAAAGAACGAGGGAGTTTTTTACGCCAGGGGGAGTCGATTTCCTTCGCTTGAAAAACTGCCGAAAGGTAGGTCACGGTGTTTTGTTGCATTTAGAAATAGTTTTTGCACAAATACTATATCGCACGGAACAATACAATAACTAAGGTACATGTACATCAGAAGTTTACCAGTCTTAACCATCTAGTATGCTCAAACACTTCGGATCTTTTTTCAGTATTCACACATTTTACTTTGACGATGACAAAAAATATGCATTAATGAATATTTATGCAGTATAACCAGGTTGTAGGTGATCTAAATGTTTTATTATTTGATAATCTTTATTGCTTGACAATTTGAATTTGGAAAATGATCGTTGAAGGAATGTACGGAGGCGATTTCTAATTTTCGTGCAAAGGTAACGGAAGGGGGAGTCGATTTCTGTTCATGATTAAGAAAGGGGGAGTCGCAAAGTAATCTAAATAATGAATTTTGGCAATCAATGTTGTCGAAATGGGCATTTTGAATGTTGAAAATGTAATATTTTATTTTCAATATCAATCTTTGAACATTTTATTCTGAATATCTAGAAATGACAAAAAAGACATCATTGTTTTAACTCCATCAACCTAAAAAAATATATCACAGTCTGAGCCAGTCTATTCGATTTCTGCACATATGTTAATGAGCACCACTCTGTACAAAGTCCTGCAAAGAGAAAGACAAATTGACCTTTAATTCGTACAAAATAAATAGGCCAAAATTATTCTCTAACTCAATGTTTAAAAAACTTTTATCATTTTGTTTTAGGATACAAAATTTCTCTTTAGATCAAAGAAATATAACCACACCCTTTTTGCCTACATAGTATGAAATTATATGGACTATCAGACCCCTTGTAAAAGATTGTGAGGTTGTGAAATTAGAC